CAGAGTCTCCACTTTGTGCATTTTTCAAATTTGCGTTGTGGGCGGAGTTATCCTTCACAGGGGGGTAAGTTCCACTTTAAGTTTCTCTGATGCCTTGTTTATATTCTTTTTAAGACTACAGGTATCGAAAAGATGAAATCTTCAAACGATTAAAGGTGACTACTTTTGCACAACTGGTAAGCATCAGTATTTACATTTTTACTGTTTTCTTTACATTCTGCAGCCTCAGCTCAGATTTATTATTATTGAGGTGTTGCAAATGAATGCAGAGAAAAATCATTTATATTTATATTTATTATCACCCAAAGACCAAAGTTTGTGTTCATGTGTCTGTTAGCATATCTCGTGACCTTCAGGTAGATATAAATGAATTGCAGATGGATGGTACTCATTTATGACTTGGTTCTTTTTTTTCTCATTAACTCCATGCTGTGTCGTTCTTCTTTTGTTTGTTTGTTTCCCAAACCAGGTTCTTCAGGTAGCCCTTTCTTCAGTCAGGAATCACAGTGAGGCCGATGACGTGTCACACATCCCACAAGGTACTATTTCAGGCTAAATAATTTATTTCTTCAGCATGGCAGGGTAACTGTACTAGAGCTATTTTTATTTTGCCTTGCAGAGTTTTGTTTCTTGTTTCTCTGGAAACAAAAAACAAATAAGACCCTGATCCTTAAATAAAACTTTTTCTGAGTCTTTATACTTCATTAATGTTGACTATCTGTACAAACTAAAGTAATACTACAAGGGCAGAATTGTTATATTTACCTCTGCTAAAGGCCCTGTCACACTAGACAACTTATGAACATTTTAAAGACGTCTGTGTTGAAGATGCAAATAAAAAATCAACAGGAAGCTTCTTTTTGGCATGTATATGATGTATTTCTAACAAATTCGGTCATCCAACCAGTTCCTCTTGGATGTTTCTAGGTCCAGACCAAAGTTTAGAGGTGATGGGGTCTTTGCAGTTTCTGCCCCAAACCTTTGGAATGATTTACCTCTTGGCATTCTGCCTGCTGAGACTTTTAAACCTCTGCTTAAAACTCATGTTTACTCCCTGGCCTTTCTTTCTCGTAGAGTTTGAGATTCTTTTAAAGCTAAAGTTTTTAATGCTCTTTTTTTCTATTTTAAATTGATCTTATTATTTCTGTGTTGCTTTGCTTTGTTGTTTTATTCTTTTGGCTGACATGTGAAGCACTTTGGTCAACTTTTGTTGTTTTTATGTGCTGTATAAAGAAATCAACATTGACACTGACATTGACAAATTCATCAAATATATAACTTTTATTAGCTATTTAGGCATAAAAAATGTTTCATTAAGTTGTCTAGTGTGACAGGGCCTTAAGGAGGTTATGTTTTTGGTAGCATTGGTCAGTTTATCTGTCTGTCTTTGCATAAGATTACTCAAAACATTTATGACCAGATTTTGATTAAATTTTCTGGAAAAGTTGAGGTTGTCACAAAGAATAAATAATTACTTTTTGGTGATGAACTGATCACCATTACATTATTTTGATGTTTTGAAATGTAACAATTCAGAAATGGGTTCATGTTACTGTGTAAGTGACCCTAAGGTCTTACTAGCAGAGGTGTCCATTCTTCAAGTGCTTCGACTTAAATTTAATATACTGATTTGCAGATAGTCTGTCCATGGTATCTGATGAAGGCCAGGAGTGTCCTTCAGAATACACCACTGACTCTGCTTTGATGGTGCCCCCCCTCTCACAATGTCAGGATTCAGGAGACAGCAAGGATATATGCCACTCTGCCAGGTCAAAACTCCTAAAGTAAGTCACTTCCTAGGAAGCCTTTCTTCTTTTATAATTGAAAATTTTATTGAATTTTGAAATATATTTTCTATAAAACATATAACATAATCTACACAGGAGAAAACAAACCAAAACAAAAAAAGACAAAAAGGTGCCATCCATTTTGAACCGTTTAGAAGATCTCAACCAGTGAATCTCACAGAAAGATTCACAGCCTGGGCTCTCTGAGGCGCGTTCCCGTCTCTCAGGAGGAGAGTTTAGTCACGGATGCAAAGTCTGACAGATTTGTTGGATATCAACGCTCTGAACATATATTTAATATAAAGTTAGGTTTTACAGACCAAAGTCTCTGGTAGTTCAGGAACAAAGTGCAGGAGGAGATGTCAGGACTGATCGCTGCAGCCAGGGCTAAACTGGGACCGAAAAACGGTCCTGGCATTTTTTGGTCCTGGCGGCCCACCATCATTATTTATATAATATACGAATAGACACGACATACTAGAGGATGTGTTGCATTTTGTGTTTCACAAGTTAAAGAGCAGCAGCCTACAAGGAAGAGAGTAACCATGTTAAAAACCTGATGAGCTCTTCTTCCACTCAGAGACTTTAATGTTCATGAGGTTCTGATGCTCAGTCAGTGGATCAGAGAGAGAACAGATCAGACAACTGAGAGAACAGATCAGACAACTGATAAACTGAAAGTTTTCAGAGTCACAAAGAAAGATTTCTATAGGCCTGGTTAGCTCACCATGCTAACAGAGACTGAACTCAGTTTTATCTTAACCTGTCAGTAAGAAGCTCTTTCTTTACCTGGTGACACTGAAAATATTACAAAGTGACTGAAACAGTATTTATGTGTCATCATAGTTCTACTGCTGTAAGATTTTAAACTAACAGATCATCAAATGAAACAAAATTAAAACTTCCACCTTCCTAAAAGTCAAATGTTGAGCTCTGATTCACATCTAAAGGTTTCATTTTTAAATTTAATATACTACAGTGTTTTTTTAGGGATGTATAGCCTATTTTATTTAACATTTAGTATAATAAACAAAACCCATGGATTCTAATTTCAGGTCAAATTATTTCATTTGACCCAAACCTACAGTGGGCTGCGAAAGTTTGGGCAGCCTTGTTAATTTTCCTTATTTACCTTTATAAATAATTTATTGTTTGGATAAAAAAATCAGTAAAATATATCATAGGGGACAAACACAGTGATATTTGAGAAGTGAAATGAAGTTTATACAGCCCCTGGCAAAAAGTCTGGAATCACCAGTGTTGAATGAGCACTCATTCAGACATTTCATTCTGTAAAACAAACCCAGATGAAAAAATGATACAATAATAAGGTCATTCCAAAGGTCAACTTGTTGGCTTTCAGGAACACTCAAAGAAATGAAGAGAAAACATTGTGGAAGTCAGTGAATGTTACTTTTATTGACCAAGCACAGGYAAAAATATGGAATCKCTCAAATTGGAGGTATAAAATAAGGACACACCCAGTCAGTTTCCTTCCCCTAAATGGACACCTGCCTCAGATCAGATCTGCTGTTAGTCTGCAGTTAAAAACACCTGCAGTCATGACACCTTGGAGGGCTGCTGGACCAAGTGGAGTGGACAGAACCATGGCTCCAACAAGAGAAATGTCTCTTGAAACAAAGAGAGGATTGTGAAACTTCTTGAAGAAGGTAACTCTTCACACATGGTTGTTAAAGATGTGGGCTGTTCACAGTCAGCTGTATCC